TAGACATATATATATATATATATATATATATATATATATATGTTTACCGGACATTATCGGTAGCGAAGTCTTTGAGGGAATTACTAGGTTGTGGCAATTTTTCACTTTGCTCTAGCACCTTTACAGCGCAACCAAATAGCGAAAGCTCCCATGGTGAACTGAAACGTCCATTACAGGGGATAGTCAGTCCCATACCACTGCTGGTGAGACGTGCAAGCAGCCTATCGTCTGGTGTCCAGGCTCCGCCCCCGTAGCTGACGGAAGGTGAAGGTTACTATGGAAATTACGGAAACGCTTTGCAGTTATCCTTTATAATTGTTTATTATTCAAAGAACGTCCAGAAATGTTCAAGAGGACGCTTGGGAATGTTCACCTTTCAAAAAGTGCATATGAGGTGCTTACTTTCGTGTCTAATACCTTGCAATCACTTGGTTCGTGCTTACTAATAAATAACTTTGCGGCGAAGGATTTTCCTCCTTTCGCCAGTAGTTGAGCCTGTATTCTGCAGCTGATGACTACTTTGGATAACCGTCGTCTGCGACCGGTTGGTTTGAACGTACCTATGAACGTTCCCTAAAGAGCCACGGAATTTTTAAAGCTACTACCAACTTACCTGATCAACACAATTGAAAGACGGATGCTGCTAATGATGGACAATCCGTGTTGACTTATTGGGACCAATGACCGACAGTGCGTGGGAAAAGGCCCATAGGATATTGATATTCAGTTCAAAGTAAAAAAAACACTACAAGGAGTAAATCAAACCGCAACGCCTATTTTTGCATCTAGTGTGGCTTATTTTGGACCCTTTATGTGCACACAGGCAGTTCCATAAGGCTATTCGTCACCGATGCCGAAAAGCATGAAGAAAACGCTTACATCTTCCAACATCCTTCTTTTTACCGTATTAGTTATGTACTTACAATTGCTTCGTAACTGGTCCTTGATAACGTCCAGCTGCTGTGTCACACAAATACACGCAAAAGAACTCAACTTGGGCGCCAAACTAACCAAAATCTGACGCACTCTTAGCTGCAGAGGATGAATAGGGAAACTTTTCAACAGCTATAGAAGTGTTGAATTACCTGTAAATGGACTATACCATCGATGTGTACAAAGAAACCTGACGTCGTGTGTTAAATGGAAGAACCAAACCTGACCAACTGAATTAGAGACGAAAAGCATATATCCTGGACGTCTGACGGGTGAGTCATAAAATACCACTGAATACACCGAAACCCACCTGATCAATGTCTCTCGAACGGTTTTTCACCTTATAACGGGTGTTGCGTGCCCCTTTACGACCCATAACACATGCGGTCTACACAGTGTGTGCTAAAACGATGCAGAAAGATAGATATTAGAAATGAACAAAGTGAACGGCGTTTATTGTATTCATGAGAAGTTTATCCTCTCCTCAACTCAGCAACGAGTTTGAAAAAAAGCATTCTGTTTGGTTTTTCAAACGCTGCATGTTCAGTTCCGCCCAAGGAGTAGCCTACTTGGGTTGCAAGCACAGACTTTACACCTAGAGAATACATCAATTGTCAGAGAAATTAGTTAGGAAACACGGAAATTGATGGTCGACGCGTGCATTGCCGTAGAAACAGCAGCGCTGGGATGAATCAGGATTGAAATAAAAACACCAGGGGAAGGAGAAAACAAAAGACGAGAGACTGTCGAATATGAATGAATAATTATCTGAAAACAATGCGAAGTACAGTGCTTCAGGCAGAATTAGTTTTCCCTGGGAGTATGCACTTAACAAGGGAATCCAAATGGCTTAAATTTGTTTGCATAGCAAAATATCGATTGGTTTCCAAAAGGGCAACTTGTACAAACGCTGTACGACGTTTGTACATACACATGGTTGCATTTAAGTATGACCAAAGTTAGTGTCTTTGTGCTGGCGTATCGAAATATTGGTAGCTCGGGTGTGTTCATTGGTGGTAAAACGCTTGCAGGCTAGTTACCAAGTTCAACAAACAGACCAACGCCGATCTACTTGGTATTCGCCTTTCATGATCAGAAACCTGCTCAAGCGGCCTTGAGATACCATCCTGGTCGTCACCACGTAAGATTGTTTTGAAGTTCTCAATTTTGTGGTACATCGTAAATAAAACCTGAATACACCAATGAAACGCTTGTGTCCAGGAAATATTAACGCCAAAATATAGACAGGTGCCAGATTTGACGATGCGCGCCAAAAGATAAAGAAAATTGCGCAACATTCATGAAGAGCGAGACTATTCTGCGGGTGTGGGGAGAATGAAAAGCAGCCCACCGTAGAAATAAAACCAACCGAGCAAAAGCGTGTGGTAGGGGTTGCGTGTTGCTAGCATATTTGTTTTCCGGGTCTTTCAACCTATCTGATAGCGGTCAAATTCCCTTAGAAACAGTTGACGGCAACGACACCAGATTGCTAATCTGTTACTCGTTCTATACAGTGACAAGGTCCCATTTGTTTGTGGCAAATAAGAAGGGAAAATCTTTCTTGCCTTTTCCTTCAAAATAGTTGGTGCGTACTCCAGTTGTACAAAAAATACCTGGGCATTGTCTACCCGAAGAGATATTTTGGCCGAGAGGGTGGGCGCTCTTCGAAAAAGAAGGCGCCGTATACGTGTTTACAAGAGCAGTTACAGAGGGACTGAGCAACAGTGAAGTGGAATTAAGCTACAGTTTGGGCACCATTTGCATGAGTCAGTCTGTAGGACTAATATCGTTCAGTTGTAACGCCCTTTCGGTGCCTAACTGCCATGTCATCAGAAGGAAGCACGAGGGATGGAAAGCTGTCAGGTTACCCAAGCCTAGATAGGGGAAGTCGAGCGGCAGAAGTCAGGTTCGAACCATGGACCTTCTGGTCAGCAAATTCGCTCACTAACCACTGAGCAATCTCGCCCTCAATATAACTATGGATTGAAAAGCATCGCTTGACGTAAAGCTGTCACCTTGTAGTGACGGTCGAGCTTCTCTCCTGCAATGAGCAAGCGGGTTATACTAGGTGAAACTCAGTTCCTAAGGGTTCAACCATTCTAAGAAGGCCAACGGGGAGCAGTCTGACGAAGAACAGCAAGTCCCCGTACTGCGAGCAATCGTATCACGAGGCGGCATGGGGGGAAATTCGTTCTGTTCTCTGCGATAGGAGTGCAAGGCAGTAAGGCGCTTCCCACAAGCGACCGGCATGTCCATATTTATGGAAGCATCGATGACGGAAATAATAGTCTGGAAGACGGTGGTCAGGTGCTGTTGCTATGCTTAGAAACACCCCCAAAGTACGTACTGTTATGTGTAAAAAAGCATCCCGAAGAACACTTATTGATTCATTTGTACAGAATAATGATTAGTTGACCACTAAACCGGTAACGTATCATGGCAGTAGAGTGTTTAAATGACTGTGAGAAAATTATGCATACGGACGAATCACATATAACCTTCTCATTGCAATAATTTAATAAGACTTTACTTGACAAAACAGAGTGAAATTCCCACTTGACTATTTGTAAGTGGTTACATTATCGGCAGAAGATATATCACACCTTTTTTCTATCTTAGTGTGAATATTTCGGCTAGTTCACATCAAAAGTAGGAATCGAGTCTCGCTCTTACTAGAGTTCACCAGCAGTGTATATCCTTGGCTAGAATAATCACACAAGGACAGGAGGCTTGTTCAGAAGGAACTGATGAAGCTATAAATTATGAACTTGAAACTCCAGAATCTCCTCAGTAGATTATAAATTGCCCGTTCTGAAAGTCGAGACTCACACGAATCGCCTGGTTATTTCGTCATCGAGGAGCTAGTCATCATCCGACGTGAATCTCGTCAACGACGGATTATTAGCGCTATATCCTAGCCAAGTGTAAGTTAACCATATTCATCGAACAGTATGGTGTGGGTTCGAAGCTCCCTAGCGATTCGTGAGACGCGCACCGCGGATGATCTTTAGCGAGGGTAGAACAGTTGTTCAGTACTGCGCGGCTACCGAACTTCGAAACAATTGACTTTCAACAATCCTGATGAGTTTGGATCTCTTGCCATTAAAATAGGTGCATCAATTACTATTACTTTCTAGAGTACTGCGTATAACATGTATAGAACATTCGAAAAACAGCACTATGATTCTCCTCAAAATTGATTTTGAACAGCGACCTCTGCCGTAACATGGACAAGCTTGCTCTCATTCAAAGTCGTCACGTAGGAGGCGTAATGTAATCGCGATCAGTAACCAAACCCAATAACTATTCTAACAGACAATCGGAGGGATAAACTTCAACAAAACGCAAAATTAGGTTCACAGTAGTGTATTATTTACAGGGAAAAATAAGAAAAGCAGGGAATTTTTCAATGAGGGGTCTCTGGACTAGTAACATCTGGGTCAAGCATAGAGTCACCGAATAGCGAAGGGTCGGTCTGCATGTCCAGAAACAGATTGTTTTCGGAGCGACACTCAATCTCAACGCCCGGATCCATGGCCAGAACATCAACTACATGGTGGAGTCTGATAAGTTGTCGCCAAAAGTCTGACTCATCCATATCCGCTAACACTTTAACCAAGTCGTCTGCAAGATTTTGTGCACACTCCGCTCGATTCACCTCACCTGTTCCATCCGCGGTCAGCCGACTTGTGCCATTGTCTTCGGGTTTCGAAGTTTCCAGCGCCGAATGCGGAAAATCGTGGTTAGCATCCATAGACGGTCCCTCTCCGTATGAATTATCAGACTTGAGAAATCCAGCGGACTGTTTCTGTTGCCCACTAGCAAGGCGTAAACGGCGCAGATCAAATCGGTTCAAATGTAGACCAAAACTGTCCAGGATGAAGCTGCGTAATTGGTCGCAAGTCTGAAAAGTATGCATCATGGAGCAAACAAGTTGGTGTTGTTCTGGAGACAATCGCCGGTTGCTGGCATACAACCAAGGTTTGCCTTCTTGGAACGAATGAGAATGGAGAAAATGGCTTCGAACCAAATGCAACATTTTTTTCCGTACGGTCACCGTGAACTGGGATTCACAGCCATAATCAGCATTCCTAAAATAAAAGAGTCACGAGAGCATTACACAAAATGATTAAAAAAAAACTACCTGACAGCTTTACACCTTGTGCGACTGTGCACACACTTATACTGAACCCATCGATAAGGGAATCCTGGGGGCAGTACTTTTCCTGTAATCCTCTGATAGTTTGATGCGGATAATGATGAACGAATGGCATAGCAAGTGGCGGTGACATGCTGGAATCTGATTAGATCACGACGAAATGCTCCAAATGAGTTATAAGGAAAAGATAAGATCCGGTGAAAGTCTTCCGTGACATCACACATTGATATGAATTAAATAATCAACGCCATGCGATCGTGTAAAAAAGTCTCAACAGGTTTTAGATGAGTCTGAAAGGAATACAATATGGAGTAATTCTCAACAAGAAAGTGGTACCTTATTGTACCGAACAGGAAAGACCATAACTGAGAGAAAATCAAATCATATTCCAAAAAACATGACCATGCGGCTGTAGTTCCGTCTCACTGCACTGAGGGCTAGAAGGCTCAGTGGTTAGAGCGTGAGTTTACTGACCATAAGGTCCGCAGTTCGAACCTAGTCTCTGCCTCTCAACTTCCCCTGTTCAGGATTGGGCAACCTGGCGGCATCTCAGCCATCGTGCCTTCTTCGGGTGGCATGGCAGTTAGGCACTGAGAGAGTGCTACAGCTGAATGATTTGGTTCTGATTTTTATCAACGCACTGCTGTTTTACAACCTGCATAGCTTATGTTTGGAACGGTTACAGGTTCCATGGAGCCCAACCTGGGTTAATCATTGGACACCATTCCACACCCATGGGTTGGTATGACCCCGGTCCCAAATGCGGCTCCAACAGGCGGGCAAAACTGCCAAGAAGTAGAATCCCCAGGTGATCGTCAGGGGTGATCATGTGACCTGAAGTATTACAATGTCCGGATACAACGACCCTCATGGCAGTTCTGTTCAAATCACTGACCTTCCCTGACATCTTGGAGACTAGTAAGGCAACTTCGAACAACGGCCGAGTGAAATTGAGGGCATCGTTCCTATCACATTCTCAAGACCACTCTGTGTTCACCTGGGTCCTAAAACCGTTCGATTATAACATCCTTTCGGCGCCTAACTGCCACATCATCAGAAGGAAGCACGACGGATGGAATACTGCCAGGTTACCCAAGCCTAGATAGGGAAAGTCGAGCGGCAGAAGTCGAGTTCGAACCACGGACCTTCTGGTTCAGCAAATCTGTGCTTTAACCATTAAGCTATTTCACCCCCTATCTGAATCCTAATCCGCCAACTTGACCATTTAGGATTTCGGACAACCTAGGACTGAATTATCACCCCGAAATACAGTAGTGATTTTAGCTTATGCAATCCTGGTTAGAAAAAATCAAGTTTTCAGTAGAGAAATGAACAGAAGAGTCCTAGTGGATAGGTCGAACATAACTTCTACAACGCCCTCCTCCCCAGGAATTAACATCAGACTGAAAATGCCGGACCAGTGGCTGAACCACACATCTACTCAGCCCACCGGTAAAGCTCGACGAAATCGTGTCTAAAACAAAAGTGCTGGGGCAACCTCCGAGATATACTTCGGCGATCTCGAGTGATGACTGATATATGGAGAGCACCCAAAAAGTTCTCCAAAAGCTCCGCACATCAGCCGGTACCTATTCTCCCCATTCTTAGTTAATTTTATGATCGATGAAATAATGAAATGAACGCTGGAAGGCATCCAAGGTATCTTTGTTCAGATAGCTGCTCACCAGAAACCTGGAATGTGAAGAAGACATCACTCTCGCCTACAGAGAAAAGACGCAGGTGATTTTAGATGAACTAACCGAAGTCATCCCATCCATTGGCATGCCTTTCGCACTCATCAAATTTGACGTTATGGACCTTGAAATACATTCACTAAGTATGCCACTTAAAATGCAGGGAGGGAAACTCGAAGTTGTTAAGTGGTTTACGTATCTTGGAATCCTGTTGGTTCAGATTGTAGAGTAACAGAAGAAGTAAATGCATTAATTTGCAAGGCTCGGGTTGCGTTTGCTAAGTTAAGACCCCTATGACACCATAGCGGCATATCCCTGAACCTCAGGGGAGTGTATTAGACTGCAGTGCGGCCTGTTTTGTTGTATGGCTGCAAGGCTTGGTTTGTAAGAAAAATCATTCAGCTGTAACACTCTTCGGGCGCCTAGCTGCCATGCCACCCGAAGGTGGCACGAGGGCTGGGATACTTTCAGGTTGCCCAAGCCTGGATAGGGGAAGACGAGAGGCAGAGATCGCGTTCGAACCATGGACCTTTTGGTCAGTAAATCCGCGCTCTAACCGCTTGAGCCATCTCTCCCTTGACCTGTTTGAGCAGGAAAACTGAGATATGTTCAAATGT